ACGTTAGGTCAACATGAACTCATAAAGAAAAATGGACATCGCCAAGAAATTCAGAGTTCTTGGGTAGTGTTAGGCGGGCACTGACCTTTCTACCCTGCCCTATATATGTTTCCTGGTAAAATAAATGGGAAAATCCCATAGGAGGAAAATTCCACTTAGGGTTAGGGTTAGGTCAACATGAACTCATAGAGCAAAATGGACCTCGCTACGAAATTCAGAGTACTTAGGTATGGTTAGGAAGGGACTGACTTTTGAAGTCTGCCCTATCTACTGTATGTTTCCTGGTAAAATACATGGGAAAATCCCTTAGGAGGAAAATTCCACTTAGGGTTAGGGTTAGGTCACCATGAACTCATATAGAAAAATGGACATCGTCAACAAATTCTGATTTCTTGGGTATGGTTAAGAGGGCACTGACCTTTCTAGCCTGCCCTATCTATGTTTCCTGGTAAAATATATGGGAAAATCCCATTGGAGGAAAATTCCACTTACGGTTAGGATTAGGTCAACATGAACTCATAGAGAAAAATGGACATCGCCAACAAATTCAGAGTTCTTGGGTAGTGTTTGGCGGGCACTGACCTTTCTACCCTGCCCTATATATGTTTCCTGGTAAAATACATGGGAAAATCCCATAGGAGGAAAATTCCACTTAGGGTTAGGGTTAGGTCAACATGAACTCATAGAGAAAAATGGGCATCGCCAACAAATTCAGAGTGCTTGGGTATTGTTAGGCGGGCACTGACCTTTCTATCCTGCCCTATCTATGTTTACTGGTACAATAGATGGAAAATCCCACTAGAGGAAAATTCCACTTAGGGTTAATAAGGTTAGGGTTAGGTCACCATGAACTCATAGAGGAAAATGGACATTGCCAACAAATTCAGAGTGCTTGGCTATGGTTAGGAGGGCACTGAGTTTTTTACTCTGCCTATCTATGTGTCCTGGTAAAATACGTGCGAAAATCCAATTGGAGGAAAATTCCAGTTAGGGTTAGGTCAAAATGAACTCAGAGAGAAAAATGGACATCGCCAACAAATTCAGAGTGCTTGGGTATTGTTAGGCCGGAACTGACCTTTCTACCCTGCCCTATATATGTTTCCTGCTACAATAGATGGGAAAATCCCATAGGAGGAATATTCCACTTAGGGTTAGGGTTAGGTCAACATGAACTCATAGAGAAAAATGGACATTGCCAAGAAATTCAGAATACTTGGGTAGTGTTAGGATGGCACTGACTTTTCGAACTTGCCCTATCTATATTTCCTGGTAAAATACTTGGAAAATCCCATTGGAGAAAAATTCCACTTAGGGTTAGTAAGGTTAGGGTTAGGTCACCATGAACTCATAGAGGAAAATGGACATTGCCAACAAATTCAGAGTGCTTGGCTATGGTTAGGAGAGCACTGACTTTTCTACTCTGCCCTATCTATGTGTCCTGGTAAAATAAATGGGAAAATCCCTTAAGAGGAAAATTCCACTTAGGGTTAGGGTTAAGTCAATATGAACTCATAGAGTAAAATGGACCTCGCCACGAAATTCAGAGTTCTTGGGTATGGTTAGGAGGGCACTGAGTTTTCTACTCTGCCGTATCTACTGTATGTGTCCTGGTAAAATACATGGGAAAATCCCCTAGGAGGAAAATTCCACTTACGGTTAGGGTTAGGTCACCATGAACTCATATAGAAAAATGGACATCACCAACGAATTCTGAGTTCTTGCATAGGGATAGGAAGGCACTGGCTTTTCAAGCTTGCCCTATCTATGTTTCCTGGTAAAATACATGGAAAATCCCATTGGAGGAAAATTCCAGTTAGGGTTAATAAGGTTAGGGTTAGGTCACCATGAACTCATAGAGCAAAATGGACATTGCCAACAAATACAGAGTGCTTGGCTGTGGTTAGGAGGGCACTGACTTTTCTACTCTGCCCTATCTATGTGTGCTGGTAAAATAAATGGGAAAATCCCTTAAGAGGAAAATTCTACTTAGGGTTAGGGTTAAGTCAACATGAACTCATAGAGTAAAATGGACCTCGCCACGAAATTCAGAGTTCTTGGGTATGGTTAGGAGGACACTGAGTTTTCTACTCTGCCGTATCTACTGTATGTTTCCTGGTAAAATACATCGGAAAATCCCATAGGAGGAAAATTCCACTTACGGTTAGGTTAGGTCTCCATGAACTCATATAGAAAAATTGACATCGCCAACTAATTTGGAGTTCTTGGTTATGGTTAGGAGGGTACTGTCTTTTCTAGCCTGCCCTATCTATAGTTCCTGGTAAAATACATGGGAAAATCCCATAGGAGGAAAATTCCTCTTAGGATTAGGGCAGTGGTGGCGAACCTATGGCACGGGTGCCAGAGGCGGCACTCAGAGCCCTCTCTGTGGGCACGTGCACCGGTGCCCCAGTCCTAAGCTGGGTTTTATAACATCTTTTCGCTTTAGGCCTCTGGCACCATGTGCTCCCCCCCAAAAAAATGTTCAATCAGTCAATTTCAACTTCTCGTGGGAAAAAAAAGATCTTGCAAAGTTAGAATTGATTGATTGAACTTTTTAGTTCCAAACAATCTGCCCTTACCAGCGCAAACATACCCACCCAATGGGCCACACCCACCCAGCACTCAACGATGCATAAGTGGGTTTTGGGTTGCAGTTTGGGCCCTAATCTCTAAAAGGTTCACCATCACTTGGTTATGGTTAGGTCAACATGAACTCATAGAGAAAAATGGACATCGCCAACAAACTCAGAATACCTGGGTATGGTTAAGAGGGCACTGACTTTTCTAGCCTGCCCTATCTATTTTTCCTGCTAAAATAGATTGAAAGATCCCATAGGAGGAAAATTCCACATAGGGTTAGGGTCAGGTCACCATGAACTCATAGAGAAAAATGAACATCGCCAACAAATTCAGAATGCTTGGGTATGGTTAGGAGGGCACTGACTTTTCTAGCCTGCTCTATCTATGTTTCCTGGTAAAATACATGGGAAAATCCCATTGGAGGAAAATTCTACTTAGGGTTAGGGTTAGGTCACCATTAACTCAGAGAGCAAAATGGACATCGCTAACAAATTCAGAGTGAAAATTCCACCTAGAGTTACAAGGATCAAAGACTGAAGCTAGAAGAAGGCAATTTTCTGTGATTCAAAAACAGTGCAGAGTTTCCAGTAGTGTGCCTTTTTGCTTCTGAAGCCACTTGTTCCTATTTCAACCAGAGGGTTAATTTTGTTGCATGGGTGGCCAGTGCTAAATTCACTGTGCTAAATCTCACTATGAAGCCGTTACAAGAAAAGCATTTTCTCCTTAAAAGGTTCTCAAACCAACATTTTCAGTTAAGAGTTTTCCTCAGGAACTGATTGTGGGGGGAAGAAGAATACCATCAATCAATAAAATATATGTAGCCATTCTAGTGTGCAATGTAGCAATTAAGGTGTGTGGACTGACACCAGGAGACTCAGAATGAGGTCTACCCATTATGTGACTGAACCAGTTTCATTTTATCAGCCCAACCTAGCTGTTGTTGTGGGGGAAAGTGGAAGGAGAAAGCACAAGTACCACCTTGAGCTCCTGAACTAAAAGTGGGGTATAAATACTAACAACAACAACAAAAAAATGCACCTCCAAAGCAAGAGACAGGCATTTGACAAATCTGGATTTAGGTTAAACGGACCATAATCTCAAATTTCATAGCTGTGAACATTTCTAACCTAATTAATGTTTATATAAAGGAAATATTTATGTTTACGTACTTCTGAAAGACAGAGAGCTCATTTTTATATATTCTTGTGAATGGATTCTTTCCTTTAGCTGATACGTCTATGGCAGGGGTAAGCAACCTTGGCTCTTTTATGACTTGTGGACTTCAACTCCCAAAATTCCTGAGCCAGCCAAGCTGGCTCAGGAATTCTGGAAGTTGAAGTCCACGAGTCATAAAAGAGCCAAGGTTGCCTACCCCTGGTCTATGGAGATTCTCAGTCATCCAGGTCATAATTGTCCCAAAGGTGCTTTTTCAAGAATCAACTGGACTTTCTTGTTATTCTTTGAAGACGTTTTGCTTCTCACCAAGAAGCTTCTTCAGCTCTGACTGGATGGTGGGGATTGGAAGGATTTATATTCCTTGCAGACAGCTGGTCGTTTGCATTCTTTTAGAGAGTCATTCTTTAGCTGATATATTTATTTATTTGTTTATGAGATTTGACAGAATTTAAATCTTTCCAGGTTTTCCTTTTATTTAATAAAGTGGCAAGATACTGAGTTGTAGCTTTTGTGTGTGGAAGTAACCACAGTTGAATTCTTATTTTGTTCAGCCTAGGAAACCTCACAACAAAATCAGAACAAAATTAAGTAGATAAATTCCCTTCATGTCTCCTGACCAAATGACAGCCCTCCATCTGACTAAGCTGATCTCTTGGCTGAGGAGTATGTTCAGAGAATGCACAACGTTGCAGTGGATTTCCAAAATGGCATTCCCTCCATCCAGCACAGATGAGACCAGCTTACTAGATGGACTTGTCTTTTTTCCTGGAAGAGGGTGAGGGCAAAATTGCCCGTTTATTGATCCAGCTGGCTGTGGATAGCAGCACTTACCCATTTGTGGCTTCGTTAGCTTGCTTTGTCCAAGCCTTGTTTTTCAGTGCAAGATTTTTTTCAATGTACTGCTCCAGGCCCCTAGAAGTATGGATCTCTGTCATTCTTACTCCTCCAAAAGACTCATTTTCATGTAAGGTTGCCTGCACTGCTGGCATGGTCAAAAAGATAAAGATGGTAGTCTCAATCACACAGTAGTGGCCACCATCTTGACTTTTTGGATGTTCCTGCATAAATCCAAAATGAACTGCACTGACAAAGGAACTGAAAAAAAAGGGTATTCTGTCTTGCTTTGATGGGAATGGGAATTAGAAGGAAAATGGGGTAGAAGTAGGGGGTTTGGGGGTAACAACATACAAGCCCATTACCCATCACAAGAGGGATATTTAAACAGACTTAAAGATTGGCACGTGTATTAAACTTTATTCAAAAATCTCCCAAAAACAAAAATGGATGAAATTGCAAATGGTAATCTGTTGAAATCATATGAAGTTCATTTATGCTTTTATGGTACCGGTAGTCCTTGAGTTATGTCCATTCCTTCAGTGACCGTTCAAAGTTACGATGGTGCTGAAGGAAGGGACTTAACAGTTGGTCCTCAAAAGTCAATAAGTTTTTTTTAATAAGTGGTCTTATGTAATGAATGAAAAAGTTTGGGAAGCACTGGTCTAGGCAATGCCAGCTCAAAAAGCAACAAACAGCAACTTCTCAGCGATTACTGATGTAAAAATCAGCACAAATAATTGTGTGATGGTCTTCGTTGAAGAGCTCAGCTGTTATATTAAATTCTCCCTATAAGAAAAAGAAAGGAAGAAATATATTCTTAAGGAATTAATTAATTAATTTGTGGAGACTACCACTTCTCTTCTAAAATGTTACTGTGGCTGTTGCTTTGAGTTAATCAGAACAATCTAATTAAATTCTCTTTAATTTCAAGTTGCATCTCTCCTTGATTAGTTTCCATTGGTTGTTTCTTGTCCTGCCCTCTCTGGTGCTTTGGAAAATAAATTGACCCCCTCCGCTTTGTGGCAGCCTCTCAAATACTGGAATACTGCTATCATGTCACCCCTAGTCCTTCTTTTCTCTAGACTAGCCAAACCCAAGTCCTGCAATTGTTCTTCATAAGTTTTACTCTCCAGGGCTTTAATCATCTTAGTTGTTCTTCTTTGCATTTTTCCAATATCTCAACATCTTTTTTGTAGCATGTATGCAGTATTCCAGGTGTGAATAATTTTTTATTATTGAAAATTGTTATTATTATTGTTATTGTTGTTGTTATTATTATTATTTAGTGAAAAATCATTTGCTTGTACACTTTTAGTGATCTCCTAAGAAGAGGTCTGCTGATCAAACAAAATTTTCTTTAATCTGGCTTCTGTTCTTATTATGGCCATATAAAATTACAACCAATCTTTCTTTTTTCAAGTCAAAAATTCTACTTGTCATTGAGTGCTGCACGTGGAGCTACACTTCACAATTTGCCTGGATACGATCTACATTTGATTTGGTTTGACTTACACTGAAACTTAATGAAAGCTTAAAATTGTTAATGATTCTCCTCTGCTGTTTTTATTATCTTTGTCTGTCACATTAGAAATTATAATGTACTCTAGCAACAGTTATTTCTAGTGTACTCAAATAACCCTGGGAGTCAGGCTGTGTACCTCTATCCTGCGCAGTTGTCAAGCAATAATATCAATTGCTCCCAGGTTGTCATATGAGAATACATGATCCTTATGCATGACATTTTACTAGATAATGTTGTGACAACCACATTCCTCTTTCACATGTCTTACTTCTCCAGTAAATTCATTTATAAACATAGCATTACTGCATCTATTAGATATTTGACAAAGGACACTTTTCCTTCATAAAAGTTAGAAAAACTTACGTGTGGGATGTTCTCCATGTTCAGGGAGACAGGCCCGGAGTAATAAATATATTCTACAAAAAAAAAAAAAAAAAAAAAACCCACCATTTCCAGTGATGAGCAAGAAAACTGGTTGAGACAGAAACTATTTTATACAATGAATGCCATGAATAATCTCTATGATTAAAATACACCACATATGCAGAAAAATACCCTCATTCTATTGGATGGAAACCAAAAATCAGATCCTTGCTCAATAATTAACTACTCTAATACAGACTTGGCACACCGTCTTCAGGTCTCTGCAATAATGAACTGCTGAATTTTGTAACAATACTGTACCTTCATCTTTGTGTATGGTTTAAAGGTTAATAATATTATTAAGGTGACCAACCATCTCCTTTAGGGAGGACAATCCTCCTTTTGTAAGTTCTGTCCTCCCTTGAAAAGTGTCCTCCTACATGTCCTCCTTTTTGATATTTGAAGACTAATCTGCAGGGCTTTTTTTTTCTCATAGAACACTCAGAACGGCGTTCTGGCACCTTTTTTTGATGGTTTTTTTTTTTCAGCTTTTGCATGAGCTGTGCTACTCCTGCTATTGGCTTTTGAAAGCCAATAGGAATTGCTGCTGAGCGTGCCAAAATACCCAGCTGGCAAACTTTGCACATGCAAGTTGTCTGTATTATTGTTGCAATGAATAAAATGTTTCTTTTATTTACAATATTTTTTCTTCAATTTATTTGTGTCCTCCTTTTCATTGTAAAAAAGTTGGTCACCTTAATATTATTTATTAACAAATAATGTTTCTATTGTTTGTTTTTTAAAATTGTAGCCAGCAGCCCACCTGTAACAGACAACCTTGCAATAAGTCAGTACAGAAGTCACTGAGAACAATCAAATGTGCTAGATCATAACTTACAACATGAATCACAACTGAAGTCAACAAAGTCTTAACAAAACAAAAAAGCTGCTTAATTCCAAAACCGTTGCCCTAGTGTCCCTTTCAAGGGAATACATTTTGTCTCTTCATGAAACCCTAACAGTGTGAGGCCAAATCAACTTTGGGGAGCTATTCTACAATGCCTGGATTACCACTGAGGTTTATCTCCAGCCTTTCATCCTCTTAGTCCTTCATGAGGTGGGGACACTAAAGCTTTCACTGGGTGGGCAGATTCTAATCAGAGGAGGCAGTGCTAAAGGTAACAGAGAGCCTGAGCATGTAAGGATTTTACAAGTTAGGCCAGCACATTGAGTTGGTTTTCTAAACCTAAAGGTAGCTAGTGCAGTGGTTATGGCACAAGTGTTGTGCTGCTGAAGTGGTTCTCACTCACTGGAAACCAAGCTGTCATATTCTGAAGCAAGTGCAGTTCCTGGGCAGCCCAGAGTAGAACATGTCACAATAGCCTAATCACATGGTAGAAGGGCATAAATCTCTGTTGTAAGACTTTCCAGTCCAAGCAAACTATAAAGGATGCACCAAGGGAAACTATAAAGGATGAAGCTGGGAAATGATGCCCTCTAGCTTCTACCTGCTGCCCGAGTGGAGCCATAAGTCCAGGAGATGAATCAAGTCATAAACCTGCTCTTTCAGGAGGACTGTGACCCTTTCCAGAAGAGAGCCCACATACAAACAGTAACCCCCTTTTGCTCGAATTCAGTCTAAGCTTGTTTTGTCCCATTCAATTGCTCACAGTCTGTAGACTCCAAGTAATCATTCAATTGCTCACAGTCTGTAGACTCCAAGTAATCATTCAATTGCTCACAGTCTGTAGACTTCAAGTAATCATGGGTGGTAATATATAACTGGGTATCATCCACCTACTGATGATATTTTTTTCCCCTTTCCATTCAATCGTGTCAGATTCTTAGCGACTACCTGGACAAGTTCTTGCAGTTTTCTTGGCCTAAGGCTGAGAGAGACAGACTGGCCCAAGGACCCCAGATGGTTTTGTGCCCAAAGTGGGACTAGAACTCACAGTCTCTGGATTTCGAAGGAGTGGAGTGACCAGGTATTGGACTGCTCGACCTCCAGGACTGTCAATTAAAACTACCCACTCAGAAAGGAGTAGAATAGCCATTTGAGAGTGCCTCTAACCTCAATCCATATAAATGGTTTAAAGCAGTGGTTCTCAACCTTTTTAATGCCGTGAGCCCCAACTGGTCGTAAGTTGAGGACTACTCAACTGGTGCAGCACCGTTTGCAGAATGGGACTTTTGGTGGGCTATTCAAGAGAGTCTATTCTATTGGCTTTCAAAAGCCAATAGAATAAAAGGGAGTAGCACAGCTAAGGAAAAGGGGGAAAAAATGATGGACTGCGTTGTTTGGCGACCCCCGTGAAATGGTCGTTTGACCCCAAATGGGGTCCTGACCCACAGGTTAAGAACCACTGATTTAAAGGATACCATGGTGAATTCTACTAAACTCTACCTAGGCACACTTGCTCTATAAAAGATCCTAACTCAGGATATTCAATGATTTCAGTCCTATGTCCAGGATTGAACTCTTCCTGGAAGGGATTCAGATAATCCAAAATATTTCTGATTCTCTGTAGTTGATGCTCTAATGCCATTTAGCGTCCTGCAGTGGCACAGCAGTACCCTGCCAAGGTGCAGAAAATGGAGAAAAATATAACAAGGGAAAAACTCTATATGCCGCCTTCAGTCCTTGAATGAAAAATTAATAAACATAAAAGGAATAATTGTAAGCATGGAGTAATAGAGTCATAATGCAGCCACTGACAGAAAGTGAAGTTGGTCAGAATATTCTGAGGAGACTTAAAGACTGCAAACACATATTACTTTAAAAAAAAACCACCCTCTAAACCAGGGGTTCTCAACCTTGGCAACTTTAAGAGTTGTGGACTTCAACTCTTAGAATTCCTCAGCCAGCTTTGCTGGCTGAGGAATTCTGGGAGTTGAAGTCCACAAGTCTTAAAGTTGCCAAGGTTGAGAACCCCTGCGTGACAGACAAGTTTCTAAACAGATGAATGACAAAGTGAATCAGAATTGTTATGTAATAGTGAGATAATATGACATTGCATTGTTGTAACTGTTTCAACCAAGAGACTGAAATGTACCTTACTCCCCTTATATGGTTCAACGAATGGTCTGTTAAGGGCACTGGGGGAGTTAGATTCTTTGTTTAATGGTCATAAAGCTATTTATAATTCTGGTGTAGGTCATGCTGCATATGTGTTCAGAGGTTCCTTATATTTCCCGCCCAAATGCTGTTCTTTAACATTTTGATTTTTCTATAAAGAAAGAATAATAGCACAACTATGCATGTATACTTTAAAGGCATCTGAAACAAAACAAAAGACAGAGTGTCTATTAAAAAAAAAACCTCTTCAAAACGTATGTTTAGTTTCAGTCCTGATCAGTGGCTTTCTACTACCCGCTTCAGCTTGGCTGAGCTCCAGACTCATTTTGGTTTCCTTTCGGTGTTTGGCCAGAGCCAAGGTGGGGCCAGGATTTCCCTTAAAATCTTCTCCTGGCTCCCAAGAGGCTGTGTGGAAAGAGAAACTGGTTTCTAATGAACAGTTGGTGTGGGTATGTATGTGTATGAAAGAGAGAGAGAAAGAGAGAGAGAGAGAGAGAGAGAGAGAGAGAGAGAGAGAGAGAGAGAGAGAGAGAGAGAGAGAGATCAGTGAGCACAAAATGGTCAAAGAATTGCATGAATTTAATCAGTGTTAATTCTTGACTCCATGATATTCCTTGTTATGATGCATATTTCTCTCTCTCTCTCTCTCTCTCTCTCTCTCTCTCTCTCTCTCTCTCTCTCTCTCTCTCTCTCTCTCTCTCTCTCTCTCTCTCTCTCTCTCTCTTTCTCATCACATCTAGCCATTCCAACAGGTCCTACAAGAAAAGTCAGGTTGCACCTAACTTAGGGGTAGGGAACCTTGGCTCTTTTATGACTTGTGGACTTCAACTCCCAGAATTCCTGAACCAACCATGCTGACTCAGGTATTCTGGGATTTGAAGTCTACAAGTCATAAAAGAGCCAAGGTTCCCTACCCCTGATTCCTAACCCATCCTTAAAGGAATATATCTGATGGGACCAGGAGGAGAGCCTTTTCTGTATGGCAACCCCACCTCTGGAACATTCCTCCTCCAGTGGGCAGGCTGGTGCTGACATGACTGGCCTTCCAGAAGAACCTGAAAATGTAACTCTGCCATCTGACCTGGGGATTTGGTAGTAATGGCATGATGCCTGCAAAGGGGTTGTATTGTTAGTGAGTTTACTGAGTTTTCCCGCTGATAATATTTTTTTATGGTTTTAAAAGTTACAGTATTTTTGTTTTACTGTTTTTGCATTTATGTGGTTTGGTGTTTTTTTAAAAAAACTTTATAAGTTATTTAGGGTCACGTATCTGAGATGGGATGGCTATGTAAGTTGAACAAACAAGCAAGCAATAATAAAAGAATTTGGCTTTCTACTTGTCTGCAAAAGGAACTGTTTGTGTGGCTTCTACAATAGATTACCTTTCTTTCTCTTGAATTTTCCACAAGTTTTTATTAAGTACTTCCTCAGAATCAGGGAGCTGTCAGAGAGATTTGTGAGCATGTGAGAATTTAAGTTTGTCATCAGTCTCATGTCCATAATTTGCATGATTGTGTGCTTAGGTGGCACTTGGTTATTACTGTCTGATATCTTCGAGCTACATAAAAATTGCTCCAGCAGATCTTCAGAGCACACATCTTAATGGATGGATTGTGGCATCATCATGAAACTCACAGCTCTGTATTTATGATTATAATTCTGATTAGGATGTCAACATGGAAGACTTAAGATACCTTTGAATCTCTTTGATTAGCTTATTGTACTATAACTGATGCTCATTTCATATTTGCTCCACTATCTATGTATTCATATACATATGTGAAACAGAGCAGAGCAGGTGGTATTAATCAGCTGTTTGACCAAGCAGGGAACCTCTAATTCCTAACCCAAATTCCTAAATCTATTTATAAGGCCTTTTGGGGGCTATGGCTATTTTTTTTATCAGAGATAAGCATCTGAGTTCCCCACTCCCACTTTTTTTTAACCCCTTTCATTTGATTTGGGGCAACAAATCAAGTAGCAGATAAGAAGTAGCACACATCCTGCAGAAAAGAGAACAACACTTTCCCAACTTTGGCTGATCTGGAAAAAGGTCAGCAGGGTCAGTGCCATTGTATGAAAAAAAATTACCTCCTTTCTTCTTTCCACAGAATTGAAACTGGGGCCAATTTCGTTCACAAAGTGGTTTGCTGTAAAGTGGTACAATATGTCCATTAAGAGTAGTACTGAAATCCACAGTGAGTTCATTGATGGCGTGCCCTGTAGAATAGATGTAGTATGAATCTTATCAGGAAGTACACAAGAACAAGGCCTTGCCACTGTGCTACTTTAGTTTTCATAAAAGGAGAGAGAGAGAGAGAGAGAGAGAGAGAGAGAGAGAGAGAGAGAGAGAGAGAGAGAGAGAGAGAGAGTCACATGTGTGTAAAATGTGGTTTATACAATATGTCTCACCTATTGTAAATCCCCAAATTTAAAGCAAGTGGATATTCCAACTTACATTCAATTACTTGAGACAAATATCTACACTGGATGTAGAGGGAGTTTGGTTTTGATTTAACAAACACAAAATCCATCCTTAGTAAGTTTCATGCTTGGGACAAAATTATAGTATGATTCAGATTGGCTTAAAAACCTATTTAATTCTAGCAAGACCAGAGTTGAACAAAACTGAAATCTGGCAAGTCAAGATAGGAGGCATGGCTAGATCTAAAAAAATCAGTTTCCCTGTAGATGGCCTTAATCCAGTGGTGGGATTCAGCCAGTTCGCACCACTTTGGCAGAACCGGTGGTTAATTTTTTGTTGCCCAGGCCCAGAATGGACTTCCAGAAGCGGCATCCACACAGAGAACCAGTTGTTCACATATTTGAATCCCACCACTGCCTTTAGAGGCAGTCACACTACCAGGAAGACTAATAGCCATTGATCCCTATGACTTCTATGAATTGGCCTAATCTTTTCTTGAAGCCAGCCATGCCTGTATCCCATACCACATTCAGTGTAGCAAATTCCAAAGTTTAATTGTACGTTGTGTAAAAAAAAATCTGTTTATCTAAATCCTAGTCACCTTTCAAAACCTGGTTTAAGTGAACAAATTAGTAAAAATAGACTTTAATTTTAGATTGTAAGAAACTTAATTGGTTGCAAACAATGTTAGGGGCAATGTGCAACTGGCTCTCTCTGTCCAACTATACCTCTGACATCAGCATCACAATTGCACAGATTTCCTCCTCCCTAAAGAATATTGTTATCCTACATGCAGGATGTACAACATCCATATATGCTCTGAGTTTGCATAGTATGTTGAACTCCAAAAATAAGTAGGGCTGGACAGTTTAAGGAAGGGTTTCAGGTGTTTTAACGAGGGAAATGGGTTCCCTAAACTTCTGTGAGTCTTAAGATTGCCACTGTATCCTTTAAAGCAGGGGTTTTCAAACTTGGCCCTTTTATGACTTGTGGACTTCAGCTCCCAGAATTCCTCAGCCAGCGTGCCTGGCTGAGGAATTCTGGGAGTTGAAGTCCACAAGTCATAAAAGGGCCCAGTTTGAAGACCCCTGCTTTAAAGCCTTCCTAAATTAGAGCTTGGGGAAAAGCTCTACAAAAAGAATATTGCTAGGTCATATTTGCAGCCCTGGCTTATACCAAAGGAGAGCAATCTGTAATTTTCCAGATCAGTTGAGCTTTGAACCTCATTATCCTACAACTTGGCCATCTTGAGGAGATCTGATGGGAGTTGTCCTCCTCTACCATGCAGTGACGTAGTTGCAAAATCATGCCCATGAGGTGCCACAGGGAATCTAGGAAAATATTCACTGCTGAGATTGGTGTTGCTTCTGAAAACAGCTTTTGGTGTACTTTCCTTTCAGAAATATCCTTAATAATAAGTCATGTAACGTTAATTCATCATAAGTCCTTCATTGAGTTACTTGGTTAAGTAATCAGCAAATGAGGATACATGTACTGTAATATATGGGGCAGTTATAAGCTTATTAGGAATGCATATCTGATAAGAAATTTCAGGGTGAGTATCAGTCTATGCCTTTCCAAAAGTCAGCTTACTTAGCAACACAAATATCCCATAGTTTCTGCTCAGCCAGTGCAGGCTGGCAGAGTTGGTGTGCCCCACAACCCTTGGATTAAACAATGGCATCTATTAGGACCCAGGAAGGGTGCCTTCTCTATTGCAGTACCTGCTGTCTGGAATGACACACACACACAGCTGGATCATGTGGTTCTCACCATGATCACATTCCAGAAGGCATGAAGACCTGACTCTTCCCCCCAAGGCTTTGCGTTAGGGTGAATTGGGGCCCCTTGATGAATGAGGTTTTCATTCATGTTTGTATGGAGTAATTGGATGTCATAGGCTTATTTGTATAGTACTGGGTTTTTATTCTGTTTTCTCTTTGATTTTGTGAGCTGCATAGAATTGCTTTGGAGCCAGGCAGGACCTAAATCTAATAATAAGACGAATAAATTGTAGCTGATTATTTTAATTTAGGACACAAAGCATTCTCTAAACCATTGAACAATTGCCCACTTGTACTGTGATTCAGCACTACAGAGCAGTGAATTGCTATACTTACTTAAAACAGTTGCTAATCGAATGTTAACATCTTTGCCGGCTACATAGGAGCAACTGTCAACACTCAAAGCAACATCTTGCAGAGGATCTGCAAAGAAAAATAAGACGCAAATCACAAGTGATTGATTTTACTGTAGCCTAAATAAGAGCTATAACAGTGTAGATAACAAAACATCAGAAAGATATTTCTTAAACTTGTTTTCAAATCAATTATCTTCACGGTTCCTGTGGATGTGTGGATCACTCTGCTTTCCGCTTGGGAGATTCAACAGGGAAGGAAATTCAAAGCTTGTGATCCCTGTCCTTTTGACACCATAACTTGATTAAGCAATCGAGCTTCTGAGCAGAAGCAAATGTGGAGGACCAGACTTTCCTTTGCAGCTTGCCCTGAAATGCCACTTCTGCAATGCCCCTATTGAAATTTAAACAGGAAGCACTTTGCTTCTTCAGGATGTGATTGGACCACCAAAGGTATCCTCCAACTTTCCAAGGTCTTCCTCAATTTCTTTTTGGCAGACCCTCCAGGGATAGTTGGCTTTTTCAGACCTCCCTTTAAGTATCAGCCCCATAGATCAATCACACCGGTGTTTTTTTATGCTATCTTATAGCATAAATTCCTCTGACTCCCTTACACAGAATAATTTTATATCTATAAGTTTTTGTAGTTTTTCTTCTCTGTTATTCTGAGGAGAAATAGATGCTATATTTAATTTTAGCAGACTTGTCCACAGAACACATAGTGACAAAGTGTGCTGTGGCATTCCCCTTTGCACATGGACAGTGTAGGTAAATTTTGCAGCACCAACAGCCTTATTTTGTTCAAAATGTTTCTGTGGCTACAGGGCACATAGGATGAATGGAGAGAAAGAGCCGCATATCTTACAACATATTCATTTCATAGTTGAAAACAAACTAGCACATATAACTTTATGCACCAAAAGTTTTCTTTATGCCTTTAAAATATATATATATTTGTGATCACACCAATAGATGCAGTTTCTCTGTAAGAACTATTTTAATAAAATATTGTGCTCTGATTATCAAAACAAAGGCATGGGCAACAAGGAAGATAGCATTATAAGGAAACAGGAATAGAACCCTTTGTGCTTTCTTCCCTATCTGTCAAAATCAGTTTTGTTTTTGTTTTATCATGATATGGTAAATGAGCATTGCTTAATATTTTTGCTTCTTAAACACTTTTGACGATTATTTTGCAATCCCATTGTCACCGAGATGTCATAAGTAGGTTATGAAAACCCATTAGAAAATGGATTTCATAACACCAACATCTTGACATCTCTTTTGTGTGCTATCAGTTCCCCTTTTTGCCTTCAGCTGGTTTTTAGATTAGCTATTTGACTTTGCAAAAAAAACAACCACCCGTTTCTCCTCTTTTTTCTACTCATGCATGCAGATGGTACAGTATAGAAAAAAGTCTATAAGGGGATTTGTTTGGTAGAGGTGCCTCTTGTAGCATTTTCAGCCCTTGCTCTCAGTCTTCAAGTGTAGATTAGTTGTATTCCTGCAACAGGAACAGATGTGCAGCAGTTGGTATTCTGTTGATTGGTATGTTTTCAGAGAGTAAAAAAAGGAGCATGGCAAATTGTTGTCTGTGAATTTGCAGTTTGTGCTATTGTTTTTTTTTTTTTTTCCCCTCCTTCCAATGGTGCTGCTGGTTTGGATAATTTGAGCCTTATGCAGGCAGCTGATAGCACACATGATTATGGCCTTAACTTGGGGTAGTCAGTTGATATAATGATTTTATAGTCTTTTTAAAATAATAGATGTTGATGGTGTTAGTCGGAGTTTTATGTTGTCTAACTTGTCTGCCATCCCTGTTTTACCAGTTGTTTGAATAGCCGGTTATGGGGGTAAATGAATCAATAAAAGGAAAATGCTCTATACAGACTATAAAACTAGTTATTGTCTCACAGGTTCCAATAACTGGTGGGTAATAAGTTGTGCAGGAAAAATGCACAGATGTCATGGGGGTGGGGGGTGGGAGTGTCCACTTTACTGCTTAGAGAGTTACTCTGTTCCATCCACCCATCCATCAATCTGTCCGCAGGCTGAAAATGTACACATCCTGAATTCTCACAGAGTCAAAATGTTTATCTTCCTTTCCCAGGAGTAAATTATGCTGTACTTCAACCTCTCATTTCCCCTCCACACTTGAGAAACACACAGCACTGTTGAATTTCTAGATTTTTTTATATGCATTTTTTTTCAGAACCACTTGCCAAATTAGATCTTTTTCTTGTTTTATAAAATCCCCCTCATATATTGTGTGTGTGTGTATGTGTGTATTTAAAAAAAGTCTATTGTTGAATATTTCATTTGGTAATTCAATTCAAAGGCAATTTGATTGGACCTCTAAAATGAAGAATATTTCCAAACAGAATTAGCAAACTGATCTGAATTGAATCAAGCATTCTGATGTTAGATTCTTCCAAAGCAATTCAGATGTCTGAATCAAACTGCATTGATGATAGTTTGATTGGAAAGATTAAACTGAATTACATTGCAAATCTAAATGGAATCACTTGGTCAAATAGGATTTTATCTCATGTATTTATTTGTTAGATATATATCCTCCCTTTGCTTTAGAGAATCAAGGTTATGAACATAACACTTTTCCCTCTTAATTTTTTTTTAGATTGGCTGAGCCAAAAGTCTATAACTAGGTTAAAATCATTCCATGAGCTTCCGTGACTATTGGGAATGTGCCAGTCAGGCAAGGAGGAGGAAACAAGTGTGCAATTTGCCTTGAGTTTCTGCCTTGCATGGTGACCAGAGACCTAGGTTGGAAACCCCCCCCCCCAAAAAAAAAGTTCCATGAGACTATCTGCTTGTTCCAAGAGAAGGTAAGCAGTCTGGGGAGATTCTTGTATTATAGGTAGACTACAATAAAGTAGTCAACTTGAACCCTTCACATGTGGATCTTGTTACTTATGCCTGACACTGGCTGAGGCTAGACTTGAATTTCTTTGATACAAGCCTAATATTTTAATTATTATATTATTGACTATTATTGACTATTATACTATTATTACTTTCATTTTTTACATACTAGTTCTTTGCAAAGTACAATCTTGATGACCCATCAAGCATTTCTTCAACCATATTACCAAAATATCTCCATCTATGAAGATCAACATTGTGGCAAAATTTATTTAGCTATACAAATCACCAACTTAATTAGTTAAGGGTAGGTCTTCTATAGATTATCCAGCATCCTTATGGCCACTGAGTCTCAATTGTGCAAAATTGTTACAACTGAATTATCTTTAGAGATTTACTTTCACAGGAATAATATTGGAGTTTTGCTGTTTTCATGCTTTAAAATTTCCCGGACAATCTCTGTCTTTGACATTATAACTATACCTTGATATTCCTATCCTTAGCAACCCTCAGTTGTAAAGCTAGAATGTATTAATCTTTATGCATTAAGGAATTGTCCATTTTCCTTCGTTCTATTTTAACTATATACCTGAATAAGTTTTTCCAAGTAGTGGAATCCTACACAATGAATATCTGATGTTTCTATGATGACAATACAATAGGCTCAACCATCATATTGAAATCACATTAGAAAAATTTCATTTTCTCTCCCCCCCCCCCTTCTCTCTTGTTCCTATGCCATTCCAGGTTCAATGCTTTTGAACAGTTAGTTGATAATTTTCTAACAAATTATTGATTTAAATTATTTTTGGGAAAACAATTTCCAGTAGATTAATTGCATATGTTTCCAGACATTGATCTGATTGAGTTCACATAGTTTGGGAGGGAGGTGGTGGGCCATTATTCTGCAGAGTACATAAATGCTTTTGGCCTTTCTCTATTCCACTCCTGGGAATAATTAAATAATGGAAAGGCGGTAAATTATTTTAGCTCCTGTTTTTCCAAGTTCATGCTATAGTAGAGCAGAATTGAAAATGAACACACAATAAACTGATTCTTAGCATTTTCATAGTGCTTTCTGCCTCCAAAGACCTAAATATGATACCCTCTAATTAATTCTAACCACAGTCCTGGTGTGGAAATGATTACAAACATTTTTTAAAAAATTCACAGCTAAAATGCTTTCTCACCACTGGTATTCCAGCTAGGGAAATAAATTACTTTCAGTGTTCCCTAAACTTCTCATAGTGATCACTCCTACCCTGCACTTTTAAAATTTAGAACTGGAAACACATTTCACTTGCTAAGACAAAAGCTACTTACAGTCCCATCAATTGACAGGGTGAAACAGTGGGATTAGTTTAACATTAATTGAGTTCTGACTGATCTGGGCCTCTTAAAGTAGACTGCTCCTTTTTAAAAACTTTATATCCCAATAACCACTCTGTAACAGCAGCTCTGAGTACCAACAAGATGGAAAGAAAAAAGATAAAGGGAAAAAAAGCATATTTTCCCTTAAAAGACAGTTACAGGAAATCTGTTACTTTATTTATTGGTTACGGTAAATTTTAAATAATTAAAATGTCAATAATACTGTTGAAAATACTGCTGTAACTAAAAAAAATAACAAGTGAGAGAACTCATGGGGATTGTTTGCTATAATAGAGGCAGCTTTCCTATAAATCCAAGCCAGAAAAAAAGATAGTCAAATAACACGAAGCCAGCAAACTTTAATGCAAAACTATTTTATTCTTAAATTAGATTAAATTAAATTGGCTCCTGAGACCAAGTGTTGTTCCAATTCTGGATATCAATAAATGAATAAAATAAATTCCCCTGAGATCTTGGTTCCTGGCAGCTCTGACTTCTGTTTCTGTTCTCCTCTCTTTATATTCCAATTTAAAAAGGTATCATTTCCTATTCTGGTTACTTCAACATACTCATGGTTATTTGTGTACTTGTGTACACTGGTTGAGAACAGTACAAGACAGTATCCTATCACCAGTGTTTCAACTTGAAACAATGAAAATGAAAAGGCAATTTTGTCTTTTGCCTCAAAGGGCAAGTGTTGTGGGCAGGATATCTATAGGTAAAGAGACCCAGGGATGACCTTGGAGAACCTATGCAGAGTTAGTTAGGACAACAGGTACAAAAGCATACTTCAGTCTGGGAAGAAACTCAGTCTGG